ATATTTGCTTTTGGTTGCATGTTCAGGGTTGGAACTTTTTGTTTCAGCTTGAGCTGCTGCTGCCGCAACAGTTGCAACCTTGAGATTGTTCAATTCAGCTTTGATCACACTGAGTTCACTTTTGAGTCGTTCAACTTCAGGATCAGTTTTATTTTCGAGTGCTGGTTTGGTGACTGAGGCGACTGGTTTTGACATGCTGTACTTTTTGCATCAGTTCTGCCTTGTAACATGTCCTCTTCTTCTCTGACTTCTTTTAACAGATCATTGAAGAAAGGTGGAGGTCTTAGTTTGTGGGTCATGCGTATACGCATTGCAATCATGTCATGTGGTGATGAACCTCGAACGACTTGTTCAATGCGGAGTCGGTTCATGTCAGCTAACTGCAATCCTCCTTTTCTGAAGATACAGTGCAACAGTTTGTCAAGTCTTAGCAGGTATGTAGACAGCTTTTCACATTCACTTTGAAATGTTTGTCGGAACTTGACTAGGAGATCAGATGAACTTTCAGTTGTTCCAAAAGCGGTTTCGAGCGCTTGCATATAGTCATTTGCAGTAGCGTTGGGAGTTTGTGCTCTCAGGAATCTTATTATGTCAGCAGCAGAACCTTTAAGACTCTCCACAATTCTTTGTTTCTTTATACTGTCACTGCATTGCCATTCTTCCAACATGTGTGTGGTTTGCTCTGCCCAGGCGTCATACTCCTCTTCGCCACTAGGTGTCGGTCGCACACCAGAAAACATTCTCAGCTTCCTGTAGCTTTGAGCATCAGCAGGCGTGGCATTGCATTTGTCAACAAGTGAACTAATGGCGTTAATGAGAGCAGTATTAACATCAAGAGACAGAGGGTTTAACAGTCCCTTAACATCAGCAATACTTTTGTCCTCATGCTCAAGAAATGACAGTAACTTTGTTTGAAAGTTTTCTTGTTCTTTGGTTGCTGCTGGGATAACATGAACAGGCCAGGGACCAACTTCACCAGGAACGCCGACTGAGTCAGGTAAAGTCTGTTCAGTCACATTAGCTAAAGTCTGGACTAGCACAAAATCAGTCTTAGAAGTCAAATCTAGACGTCTGTCTACTATTTTAGTCTTCCCAAGAACTTTAACTGAGCTAAGGACTTCAAGTAGGACATCGTCTGTGACATCATAAACACCACTTAAGACTACTGCATGAGCGGGATCTAGCTGATGTCTTTTACACCACGCTGCAATCTCTACTGCCTCCATTTTGTCAGTCTAGAGCAGAAAAAGAAACCAAAACCTTCAAGGTATACAGCAAAACTCAATAAAACATTCAACAATATCACAAATAACTCAATACTGGGTAAACTGTACATTAAAAAAAAAATCCCGGACGAAGCCCCCAAAAATGTAACCCTTTTACCACCCGGCTCGTTATAGTAAGGGAATAACTATTCAGTGCATGCCCCCTTTAAACTCTAAATAACAAATTGGCAAAAGAGACATTCCAATGTATACAACTATGTCTAGGGTTAAGTATGATCCTCACCTTTAAAACACTAATTAGAGGCTTCCCAAAAATAATATTAATTAAATAACTCAAAATATGTACCTTTGGTTACCACGTAACTTTTGAATATATTTTACAGTGCCTGTTTTACAGTGTAGAAAGGATAAACACACACAATAAATGCATTTTAGGGTTTTGTATTAATTAAATTAAAACACAGGTCATACAATTACCCAATTCAAATGTGAAATAATATTTTAAACCCTTAGATGTGTTAATCACATAAAGTCAACCTGAGTGCACTCTTAGTGTTTTATGCAAGCTTGCGTTGGAGCTCATATCCATTTGAAAACACCTCAACAATAATCCTACCAGTCTGAAGAAAATCCCAGTCCTCACGATCCAAGGAACAAAGAACGTGTGCACACGGAATCCCACTTCCCTGTCATCCTCCCCGCAGGTGAGTGCTTTCTGATTCTCGGCAACACCGTCTGCTTCCTTGCGGCTCTCGGCGAGGAAATCACCACAGACACGACAAAGTTAGCTTTAGCTTTAGCCTAGCTTTGCTCTCTCAGCTCCGTCTTTGGAAAACACAGTTCAACTCACTCCCTCGCAGCGCGGGTTGTCCACGAACTCTCCTGCGGTCCATTGGAGCA